TCTATACTCCAACTTGAGGGGGAGTGTTGAAATAATTTAGTTGTTGGTGTTAGGGTCTGTTTGGCTAGTTAAAGCGTTTCTTATTTCTATTTTTTTACTTCTGTTATGTTTGTTATTGTACTCACTTATAGCAGGGGCACAAGGGTCTTTTCCCTTGTTATTTCTGCCGCCCTATATATATTACAATAAAAGTGGCGCCGCCAGTACTGTTACATTGCCAATCCCTTTTCTCTTCTCCCTTCTCTCTTCTTCTTCTCTTCTCTTCTCTTCCTCTTATTTCTGGCCAGCCACACTGTCAAAAAAATGCATTTGCCAACCAGCAGTGAAACAAGAAATGCCAACAAGTAGGTCCAGATTCCAACAGCATGGGACACAAAATATCAAGGACAGGAGTTGTTGGACAGTGCATGCCCTCAAGATCCAATAATGACATGTATACTGCTTTTATCATGAATAAAATACCAATTTCATATACAATCACATGTGTCAATGGGTGTGTTTCTGTAATAGCCATTGTTCTGCATTTTTTTTAATATGTACCCTTGCTCTGCATTTGAGGATTATGATAATCAGTGTGTAGACTAAATTGTTCTCAACCAGTGTCTAAGCATGGGCAATTCAAACAGAAAAGGTTGACATGTAAGTGCTACCTTACGAGAAGGGGTAGCCAGTCTCTACTGTTAGAGTGATGATTCAAGACACAAACATGGGTGTTTCGGAACACTGAACTAGACCAATTTCAAATGGCTGTTGGACTTTATGATTGGTGGAGCATCTGGATTGATGCATATGATCCTCAGATTTACAATGGTACTCTACCAGGTTTCAGACTTGTCTGTTTTTGATATGGCAATCAATGAAGCCCTTCTAGGGTTAATACCTGGGTAAGTTGGAGCATATAAGAATGGGATCACGGCAAGTGATCACTGTGATAGGATCTTCCATTCTATTAGACAGAGGGAATACCCCGGTAACGTCTTCTCTGATGGATTCCTAAAACTGCAGGCAGTGGATATCAAAGTAGTTTTGAGATTGCTTTTGCAAATTAATATTATATTAAATAGTTTTCTCAAATATATTATATTAAAAATATAGTTTATTTTCATAAAGGGGTTTGCAAAACCAATTTCTCACTGTTCCATCATGGAAGAAGACATAATATTGGTTTTTATCTCTAGGGGGAATAAGCCCCCCAGTTCCCATATTGAAGGCAGAGGGATCATGTTGCAAGTACCTATTTAGGCCAAATAAACCTGATGGATATGCTTCAGGATGGACCAACTAGATTAGGCTCTGAGGGTGGTAAAGCCTAGTCATTTAAAGCTCATGGAAATTGGTTTTTATCTCTAAGGGGAATAGGTCCCCCAGTTCCCAATGTTGGGTATTGAAGGCAGAGGGATCATGTTGCAAGTACCTATTTAGGCCCAATAAACCTGATGGATGTTTCAGGATGGACCAACTAGATTAGGCTCTGAGGGTGGCAAAGCCTAGTCATTTAAAGCTCATTTGGACCGGACCTAAAGTAGGCCCAATTGCTGGGGCTGAATTCTCCTTAAGAAGGAACCCAATACAGTTTAGCAGTTTCCTACCTCCAGTGGACCACTTTTTTTTTAAGAGTAAAAAAAAGAAATTTTATTAAAAAGAAAAAAGGTTACAATGTAGGAGGTGACAAGAAAGCACCTCAACGATACAAAGCAACTAGAGACCAACACAAACAAACTAGAGACTATTACAAATCTGAAAAACAAACACATTCCACAAGATCTCCCCCAAATTTCATATGCTAATCTGTTCAAACTATGGAAACACCAGAACCCAATCTGAGACAAAATGCCCAACTAAAGCCACTAGCGCCTCAATAGGTTTGAAACAACATACCGTGAAAGAATCTCAGCATCCACTTCCAACCACTCTCCAGTGCCACCCCCCCCCCTAAAACTCATCCTTCAGGTGGTACATGTTGATTGGCTCCAGGTTTGTTTCCTGTAAAAGAACTGCCTGGTCTGTAACACCCGGTTAAGCCCTGACCACTATTCTTCTTTTTCCTCAGACCTCTAACACTCCAACTCAAATCCTCATCCTTAATCCCCTCCCTAACCCCTGATACAAGATGAAACTCCTACTCCTTACATATCTTCTCCCAAAACCTCCTCCTCTCCCCCTTCTTTATCCCAAGTCCCAACCTCTGCTTCTTAAAAGACTTTCCTCTCTCATATTCTTCTCTTCCCTCCTAGCATTCTCGAACTGTTCAAAAGCCCTCCTTGCAAAATCTTCCCCTCCCAAAAACAAATCCCAAAGATTTACCCACTGTCACCTCCTTCTCAACCCAAGTGCTGATTTCAAAACCACTCTTGTGCAACCCTTCCAAAACCCCTTGTACCCCTTCTCATCCTTTCACTGCTACCTCTTTTTCCCCCTTCTGTTCCTCCGAACTCCCTTTCCTGTGCTCCTCCTCTCCTCCCTTCTCCCCTACCATTCCTCTGTCAATAACCCCTAATTTTCTTTTCCTTTTCCTATTATACACTATTTCCTCCCCTTTCTGCCTCCTCCACAACCTTCCTCTTCCTACTACCAACCCCCTTATCACTATTCCAGCACCTGTGGTGTTCCACCAAGAGGCTCTCCCCCATCATCTTCTCAGCCAAGGGCCTATTAGTCATAGGGGTGCATATCTATATCTCTAGATGCTCGGTGTCAGACCCCTTCATGTACTTTACATCATCTTTGTCGGTCACCGAATCTACAGATCCGTCCAACGGCTGTGGTTTTGTTGAGGACATCAGCACTTCATACATTTAAGGAAGAGGACTGGACAAAGGCGACGTAGGATTCAAAGTACAACGCCTAGCAGTGGTTGTGGCAGCTTCCTTCCTTTTCTCGGTATTCAGGCAGGTGATGGTTTCTAAATCTCTCGAACCAGCCTCGTCTTTCTCCATAAATCCTATCGTCCTTGATAGCTCCAACTTGAAAAAGTTTGCTTCCTCCCTATCTTCAATCATTTTATTTCTCTGCCTTCCTCCTCCACTAACACTGTTACGCTCCTAGCACTGCACCATTGCCGGACAAGAGTATTGGCTCGGATCTGAAACCTCCAAGCCATGATTAAGGTTGAACTCTTGTGGATTCACCTCCTTAGCAAACTCAGATATACCTTTCGCCTATTCTTCGTCTGATATACCCCCCCTCCCCCTCCACCACTTGCCTGCTGTGAAACATAAAGAGTAACAACCTCCCACTCAGTTTCCTCACTCCCAAAACCTTGTCTTTTCCCCATTCTAAAACCACCCAGGCTTCAATTTTCTTGATCTCCATCTCTTCTCCAACTATTCTCCCTACTAGGCTCGTGTATAACACATTCATCCTCTCCTGTAGCTTGCCAACTTTCCTCACATCAACCTCCGCCTCCATCCTTTGTGTTTCACTTGTTTACATACCTCCAGTGGATCCCACACCTCACAGACTCTTCTTACTTAGATCTATTGTTAAATTAGGAGGCCATGGCCTGTTAGAATTTAGACTAGTAGAGTACTAGTTCAATGGGACACTTTGCTACCAGAAGAGTCCTAGCCGAACTGGGAAGGGGCTGCCTCCAGCCCTCTCGCATTCACATTGGATTGAATTAGGGTTTCTAGAACACTTCTTGAAGCCCTAATTGAGCCCCCACCAGATATGTTCTGAACTAAAAGACTAAAAGACATCCAGACCAGTTCAGCCATAGATTGATCTAACTAGTTTGGTTTGAATTCAACACACCTAGTTGAACTACTAAATTTGCTTGAATCCTAATTGAACCAGCCTTGTTTCAATTATTGTGGGGATTCGATATACTGCAAAGAAGATACCTAACTTCATGCTTAGTTGGTTTCATTTATAAGGAAGGGCTATCAAAGCTAACACTATCAGCACTCACACAAATCTTAACAACCAAAGAAAGTGAAGCCAGTAGCAACAAACATAATCACCTAAGCAAACATATCACTTAAGTTCCAAACATAACCACCTTATAAACAGTCTTTTGGTGTCAATGACCCATGTCCACATCAAAACCATAGAAGACAATTGGTATGGATATGAAAAAAGAAACACCTCAAAAAAAAATTCTAAGTGGGGTGGTAAATATGAAATGAAGAAATATTCACAAAGGCTGCAATCTTTCACCAAACTGCATAGGAACAGTTTTCTTGAATTACAAAAGTGATATGAATCCAATAGTACTAAATCCAATCTCCATCAATAGTGCCAGTAATCACGCCATTCAAAAAACCACAGATTGTGCTTTTTTTATCTTTTGACAAAAAAAAAAAAAAAACTTGAAAACCACTGAATCATGTCAAACAGAACCACTGTCCTCAAGTTGACATCTTTACAGACTGGTGATACAGCAGGTTCCTTAAGTTGTAATGATCAGAAGAGAACAATCTTACAAACAAGCCTGGCTGTTATAGACTCATACCAACTAGAAATTAGCACATGTTATTAGATAAGGAAAAGGAGACAGAAAGATGTTACCCAATGTTACTATTAAGGTCCCCCAATAAATCCTATGTAAGATCATTCTCTGCTGATCTTACCCAATGTTACTATTAAGTTACGCTTACGCCTCTAATACTACTAAAGAGCCCTTAAACAAATCCTGGTTGTACATGGCTGAGTTGTATATGAAAGTATTTTTCATCGATGTTACCAACTACTAGCAGAATTGTTTTAGTTATGATTTATGAATGACTCATAAAGAGCAAATTGGAGAATTTGTTGCAGAAAATCCAACTAGATGTATTAGGAGAATGTAGATTGGCATGATCTAATTAAATACATGAGGAGAATGTAGAGTATAAAAGTCTCAGAAATGTATTAAAAATATGTTTTCACGAATCTTAGAGAGCAACAACTACCGCACCTCTATAGAACTATATTTTGTGATGATGTACCAAGATAGGATGCACTCAAAATAAGCATCAGGTATTTTACTTAACATGAGAGATTAAGCAATTAAAAATTACCAGAAGGAAATACGGTCCCTGTCAAGGAGCAAAGTTGCACTATAAGCTGTCGAGCAGAAACTGCTATTGGAGAGTCAAGCCAGTGACTATCATACGAAAATTTTTGTCGCAGAGTCCCATATAAGCCCAGAAGCCAACCAATATGACCACTTGAAATCAATACATCATGCCATGCAGGACCAGGCTGCAAGCAAAATAAAAGGAGGAAAGAAACAAGTTACATTACAAAGAAAGGTGAATTTTCAGATATAAATGTGGTTTAATTGTTACCTGCACCAGCACACACTCAGACTTCTTAAGCATTACAGTATCATTCCGAACTCCAGAAGAAAACATGTTTAAACCCTTCTTGGCAAGATCAAGAGCACTTTTGTTGCATTGGAACTCCCAATTCATGATCTGAAACATGAGGCGCAGTGCAGCAGCACAAACTTTGACTTCTATGGCAGTGGAATCACACTCTACTACTTTGTTTGTGACACTCAAAGTAGCATCTTGTGCCCAGCAGTAGAATTTCTGGAAACAAAAGAAGGCAAATTCACATACAAAGAACTTCCTTCATAAGTGCTAGCACAGACACAACATAACAAAAAGAAACATATACATTGCAATGACCACAACCTTTAGATAGTCCCGCTCTAGCGTAATTCGGCATTGTTCATGAAACTCTCTAGGAAGGCCCATGGCAGATGAAGTAGAGGGTGAAAATTCTGACACCTGAAAAGAATATTAACTTTAAAACCTCAGTACAGCAAGACGCAAAATCCAATCACAGGAAGTGACTCAAATGAAGAACCAATAAGTTTACAATTTGACATATACCAAGGACTCCAGGAAATTGACCCCCATGAACTGAGCATCTACACCATGATTCCCAAGAACAGCCTGCTTTACCTGTAGTTGTAATCAACTGTCAGACATCCACACAAGAACTACTAGAACTCATCATCATCATCATCTAAGCCTTGTCCCAGCTATAGGGGCCAGCTATGAAGAACCAATTAGAACTCTCCAACGCAATTCTGTATATGGGAATTTTTAAATTTTAAAAGGTAGTAATAGAAACCTTCTGAAAAAAGTCAATGTACTTCCAGAAGAACCAGGCAGTAGTTCTTTTTTTTGTAATAAATAAAAAAAAAAAAGAAAACTAATCAAGATAAAAGAAACAAAACAAAATGGTGATGAGTGATCACCCAAGAAACAAAGAAAATGAAAAGAGAAAACCAAAATACAGATCAGCTCCCCCCCCCGTCCCATCATCCAAATCTATGTATGTCCAAAAATCCTCCCAAATCAAATGATCCCCTACTCAACTACAGAAATCAAATATCCCCCAAATGCCAATACTTTCCCTTACATTGATGGTTCTGAAACCCACCCGAAATCCTTGACATTCAACATTCAATCTCAAAAACTAATCCTCCTCCTTTCAACCTTCCTTGAAATACATACCATCTAAATATCTCATCTCCCAATGTTGATCGTTCCAAGCTTTTATTTTTCCTTTTAAAAAAAAAGTTTCTTCCAGAAACAATAACATCCGGAGGCTTTCTCTGTGAACAATTACCACCATTCCTCTACTTATTTCCACAATATTTAGCACCTCAAACTACATCAACTTGATAAATCCATCCAAAGTAAGCACAACCAGAGAAATCCATTAATGAGATCATGTCTATAAGGGACTTAAAGATAAATTGTTATTCTTATGTATCTAAATAGAAAATGTAATGTGTATTAATGTTAAAGAAATGGTATTTCTTTCACCCTCCAAAATGAGCACATGGATAGGAATACGGGAACAATTCTGTACATATTAAATTGGGAGATTGTGTTAGCATTAAGCTGGCTAATGATCACATCATCAAGATGGGGCAATCATACGCATTTTATTTGAGACTCGCTATCTATGTGGTAATTCTCAAAAGTGTTACTGTATCAAAAAAAAAAAAAGAAAAAACTCTCTAAGGCCTTGTTTGATAACACTTTTCAGAGGTTTGGTGTCTGAAAAACTTGCTTTTCAGACACTTGACTCATTTGGTGTTGCGTCTGAAAATCGATCTGAAATTTTAAGTTAGTAGCCCGGCACTTATGTGTTCAGACGTAATTGAGAGGTGCATAAAAGACATAAATGCCCTCAAAGAAATTTTAAAATTACATGATTTGTCCTTCATGTAACTTGAACCGAACCCTCAYGTTGCAACGGCGGTTCGATGAGTAGAAATAATAATATTATTATTAATTATAATTTTTTTATTAATTATTAATTATTTTAATATTTTTATTAAACAATAATTATTTTTCTTTTTTATTTTATATTAATTATTAATTATTAATATTTAATAATTCTTTTATTAAACATTACTAATTATTAATTATTTTTATTAAATAGTAATTTTTAATTATTTCATTAATTTTTAAAAATTATTTTATTTTTATGTGTAAATTATTAATTATTAATTATTTTAATATTTTTATAGTCATTAATTATTTTATTAATTTTAATCGTTTCATTTATTAATTAGTAATTATTAATTTTTTATTTTTTATTTGTATTGTTTCAATGTTATTTTGAGGTTGAAAATTAATTTTTATGAGATAATGCAAATTGAACTCAACATTTACAAATAGTATGTTCTAGGGGTAAAATAGTAAAATCAGCAAATTTCATATGGTAAAGGGTTGATCCAACACAAACAAACTTATGGATTCAGAGCCTCTAAAAAGTAGAAAAGCATCTATGCCTCTTTTCAGATTTCAGACACTTTTAATATCTTTTTAACTTTTCAGATTTATCAAACGCCACCTAAGTCTTAGGGTTGAACTTATTAATTAATTTGGGAATCTAAATTAGGTCAAGGCTTTAGGTTGAATTTTTTATTTTTGGAAGCTACACTAGGGGACCTACTATCCATGTCATATTTCTAAAAAGCCTTTAGCTGGGTTTTTCTATTTAACTTAAGAAATCAAATTGGATTTTATTTGTGATTGAAGGATCTGAACTACTTTCTAATTTGAGTTAGGAAATAAAATATTTTAAATCTATAAGGAAACCACATTATTTAATATCTTTTTTTTCGAAGGAGGACACCCATCCATGTGTTTCAAGGAGAAGCCTTCCTGTATGCATGCATGTTGTGTATATGTTTTTTTATAATAAGAAGAAGCAAAAACAAATGATTCATAAAAGAAGAGAAAAGAGTACAAAGGGTACTCAGAGTGATAAAAAATCACCCAAAAGAGAAATAGAAATACAAACAAATTGACAAAAATAAAATTACATCAATAAAAACCCCTACACTCAATATTAGTTACGTTCCAAAACCCAAAATCAAAAGAATCCTTGCTGACCCCTGCAAATTCTCGTAGAATCAGGACCCATTCCATAATCCTATTGCCAATTGTTGGGGCTAGACAATCAGTTGTTCTATACTGGTCTTCAAATGTTCTTCTATTTCTTTCCTTCCACAGTTCCCAGCAGACTGTAAAAGGTACACAGCTCCAAAATATCTTTACTTTTCCGTTTCCATTTGAAGCCGGCCAGCAAGCAAATATATCTCTTCATGATCCTGGATTCCACATTTCCGTTTTAAAATACTGAGAAAAAGTAACCCCAGATAATCATTGCACAACAGCAATCAAAACAAAGATGAAGCACACTCTCATCTTCAAGAAAACAAAGATAACACCTTCCCACCAATTGAATGTCTCTGCTCCTTATATAATCTTGTGTAAGAATTCTGCCAACGCCACAAGCCAAGCAAAAGATTCCACCCTAGGGGGAATAGGATTGCCCCAAATGCCTTTGGCATCATTTTTTGAAGATAAAGGAAAAAATTTTATTGAAATAAAAAGAAGATACAAGGAAGGTGATAAGCAATCACCCAAGAGAAAGCCCAATCCAAAGAGAAAACCCAGAGAGGCACAAAAAAAAAAAAACAAACAAAACAGAACCAATACCAAAGTAAATTTAAACCCAACTAGAGCAAACCCCCAAGCAAAACAAAAGAGGACAAGACAAAAACGGCAAAAGAAACCCAGAACATCCTAGCCAGCCCAACACCCACAATATACTAAAATAAGACATCTAAACCCAAACCAGAGCTTCAAAAACCTTAGCTATTCTTCTCCGTTTTGTGAGTACAATCTTCTTGTCATCTTTTGACTATTTTTTGGGGGTTTTTTGACGAGCTTGTTAGGCTGAACACCAAATAGACCACCTTTTAACCTCATGAAAATCTTAGAAACTGGAATCTGCTGTTGAGTTCTTTTGTGAGTTCTGAATCTTCTGACTGAATTTAGCATTTCCACGTCTTTTTCAAACTTCCCCCGCAAACTTCTGACCCCTGGCTGAAGCCACCACCCCCTCAACCTCTCCTTCTGGATTCTTGGTGATCTCCCTGCAACTTTGACATCTTTCCTTTCAACTTGATTCCTTGCCAAAGTCCGGTAGAAAGATTTCACAGTGAACACTCCTTTATTGCTCTCCTTCCACCATCTTGAATCAACTCTCTCCAAATTTAATTCCACTACTTTGACCTTAGCCAATAAATTAACAGCACTTCACTATGGAAATGCTGCTGGGGCCCACCATCCAAAGTCTCCATCGGAAAACAAAAAAAAGAGCTGTGTCCTGCTCAGGTTTGAGATAAACGGGGTTCAATTAGATTAGTAAGGGACAAGCTTCAAAAAAGGAGAGAGGTAGGAGGGGAATGATATTTCATCAGTGAAGATAAGAGAAGGAAGAAGAAGGATACTGCGAGTATAGTGAAGGTCTCTGCTTCTCGTGATGCGGAGCAAAATCCTATCAATAGTGTGGAAGATCATGTTAGCTGCGTTCGGAACAGGTGCGGTCCTGTGGAGATGTTGGATGCTGCGAATCAAAAGGTGCTTGTTGGTAAGGTGCCTTCGTTTTCTAACCCCATATGAGTGGCGCAAATGAGTGTGCTATTGAAGCTGAGATTGGTCTCAAGGAAAAAGAAGTGGTTTTAAGAGATACCACCATTGCTGATTTAGGAGATTGTTGTGATATTGGTGTTGAACGAAGTAGAACTGTAGGCGAGAATCATTGTGCCTTGCCCCAATCCAAGAGTGCAGTGGGTGATTTTTGTGACTTCGAGGAGGTAGTGGTCGGTAAGTTAGGGGTGGATTTGAGTAGGAGGGGGGAGGATAAGAACACTTCAGATATTGCCAATTCAGTGAAGACCAAAACTTCCTGCGGAACATCGGGAGTAAGATACTCTCACACCGTTCACGTAACAAAAATGTTCTCTCGGCTAAAAGGTGGTTTGATTGGGAGTGGACCTACCAAGAAATACAAGAAGGTCTACAAGAGAAGGGGCAGAAGTCTTTCAAAGACGACAACCGGAGATGCCGCTGGTAAGGATCTCTGGGTTGGTTCTAACCAGGACCAGCAATTGGGGACTCAGCAGCGGGGGGAATCAATAGAGAACAATTCTGCTTCCATGGTAAGAGATTGTGACAAAATCTGTGGGAAGGTGGTGAATTCAGGAAGTATCTCCATGGAGGAAGTGGCTAAAAAAGATGTAGGGGTTGGTTGGAGCAAGGTTTGGCTGAACGCGATGGCTGTTCAGCAGGCTGTGGAACCAATGATAAGGTTCCATGCCAGTATTTGAATACATGGGGCCCGCAACTTTCAAAGTGAGGCCCATGAATTTATTACTGGCGTGGAACCTCACCAGTGGTTCCACAGCCTTCTGAACAGCCATCACATTCAGCTAATCCGAATTCGCAAAAGCCTGGGTCTGTTTTTCTGGGGTGGAGAGGAATTTGCTAGGAAAGCCTTTGAAGAGTTTGAGAGGAAGAAGAGAGAAGAGTTTTTCTTGGCTCCACTCATCATCACCAAATGGACAATAGGAAGATGGAGGACGAGA